ATACTCATTATGATGTATTAATGTGAGAAATAAAAAATATTAATGATAATTTTTGTAACCGAAAATGGAGGGAAAATGTTAGAGGTTTTATTAAATATGTAAAATTAAATGTTATATGCTAGCAATTATATATATATAGATATCTTTGAACTAAATTTTATGAATCATATGTACTAAATTCATTTATCTGTTCACAAAAGGAATATGAATGCACAAGCAGTGCATATGAAGGTAATAATAATAATAATAAAAATTATGCTAGAACTTATAAGTTTATAAATAGGAAACGAATATGTTCACAAAAATTGAACAGGCATACCAAGTTTTATTCTAAAAACAATCAGAAATAAGTACTGTCTAGCACATGCGCTACAACACAATTGGAGCAATTTTTCAGTTTATCATGATTCAAGTGAACAAAAAAATTGCCATGCTAAGTAATTTTTGATATAACAGAAGCATGATGATTGAAGAGGATATGTAGATTCATTTATAAGTATGCATGCTAAATTGTGAATTAGTTATTTGATTTAAATACAAACTGAATTGGTTGCTGCTTTCAGAATAAAATTTATATTTTATGAGTTAACCTTTATTATTTTGGTCTTTTGTGTAAATGTCTGTTACACCTCTCTTATCATATATAATTGTGAAAGAATGAATAATTTGGTTATCTTTTAAAATTGAGCAAAAATATATATATTTTTTTTTTATATAGGCAGAAGTGTTTGAAGTTCTCAATGTTACTAACCTAATTTTGCTCAGCTTCATATGATTCAACACCACTAGCTAAACGGGATAATTTTTTCAGTATCAAGCATCAGGGCCGTAGATCATTGCATGTATGTTTCCTGATTAATTCATCTTGAATTGCAACTGGCAACCAACACCTAATAATTGAAAATAATTGATACATGAAACTATAATTAGTTTTTTATATTTTCTTGTAACTGTAAGATTGAGTAGAGTGAATTATTTGTACCTTGCTTCAACGAAGCATAGATTTTTGCCATGTCAATATCCGAAGCATGAGAATCCGCCACATACGCTCAACACGTTTTGAATTAATATATAGGGAGGGATAAATAATATTAGTCACTCCATTATTCTATGCATGAAATAAGTAAATTAGTTTGTAAAATATGGAAACTGATGTTCAGTGAGTCTGATGAGAAGGTAAGACATTTGTTTAATTATTAATTTTAGCTTTTGAAATTATATAAAAGGGTTAATTCACTATAGAAAGGTAAGACTTCATTAATTCCAACACTCTTACATTTAATACAGATAAATCTTCTTCTACAAGATATTGACGGCGTACATTCAATACAGATAATTCTTCTTCTCCAAGATATTGACGGCGTCGGAGGGTTTTGCGCCGGAGTAATTCCGGCGCTTTGCAGGTACCAGCGAACTCACATGCTCGGACCGGACCAAACAAGCTAGCCCACAACTCAAACCGAAGAGGACCCTTTGAAGAACCAAAGTCTCTTATCTTGGACCATATCACAAGTCCACCGCACGAGATACTACTCACTAGTATACTAAAAGGAACCGTTTCACCATTTCTGTCAATTTTCAAAATCTATAGTTATTTTCTATTTGATCAATAGCTATTGTTTAGCCAATAATGTTAAAGTATCACTCTATCAAAATGTCATTTTTTTTTTTTTTCGGATAACAAATGACTCTAGAGCTGGGGTTTAATTAGAGCTGTAAACGAACCGAACGTTCGCGAACAAAAGCTCGTTCGAGCTCGTTCGTGTTCGACAAAAGCTCGTTCGTTTATTAATCGAATCGAGTTCGAACAGGAAATTAGGCTCGTTTAATAATCGAACGAACACGAGCTCGTTCGTGAACGTTCGATTATGTTCGCGAACATTAATTTAATATAATTTTATTGAATTTTTTATATATTTATATGATATTTTTAATAAAAATCTAAAATTTAATATAATTTTATTTATTTTTTATATATATTTACATAATATTTTTAATTAAAAATTTAAAATATAAAAATATTTTTATTTTGTTTTTTTATTTTCGAGTTCGAACGAACAAATTTCTAGTTAATCAAACATATTTTAAAAGTTTATATATTAATTTATTCGAACACGAACGAACTCGAACTTTGACAAACAATTAAACGAAAGAACTCGAACACAATTTTTTGCTCGAAAAATAAACGAACGAACACGAACATTGTTCGAACATAAACGAACACGAGCTCGAACAACCCAAGCTCGGTTCGGTTCGATTCGTTTACAACACTAGGTTTAATGGACTACGAAATAGTGCATATGTTTTAAGCATGCACTGTTTTTAATTAGTGTCCTAATTGCTTATAAACTATGCTTATTTTAATTTATATGATATGGTAATCTTGGTAAGGTTCTTATATCTGTTCTTTATCTCACTTGTTATGTTATTTTTATTTTGAAAATAAACTGAGGTGGATGAAGTTATTTTTTACATAATTTAAAAATATTAACCTAAGATCTCATAGTTTTTACTGAATTGAGAATTTTATATGCTATTCAATTATTCATCAAGTTTTACTTAGGTTTGCCTATATATTAAAAATAAATAATTTACAATATATATTTTTATAAAAACAAAAAAAAAAATGACCCTTTTCAGTAACTTCATTTTTCCAGAAGCAAAAAAATTTGATCACAAAAGTTAGTACTCAATTTAGGGCTACACGGATCGAGCGAGCTCGCGAGCATTCGAGTCAAAGCTCGACTACAGCTCGAGTTTGACCGAACTTGAATCGAGCCAGAGCAACTGAAAAAAAAAAAAAAAAACTCCTCCAACATAGCCTGAGTCTCTCCTGAGAAATTTTGGCGGGCTTTAAATTTATTATGCAGGAGGTGGGCGATATCTCATCCTCACGCGTTGCGGGGGCCTAAATTCAGGAGAAGCAGCTAGCAAGACAGGCAAGGAGCTCTCGCACTATTCTGGCTAAGGCTACTCTCAAAATGTCTCTCTCCAGCCACGACGGAGGCAAAGGCGGCGACGGCGACGGCGACGGCGACGGCGGAAGCCACTGGCAGGTCGTGAGAACCCGGGTCGGCCAGTTTCTGAGAGAGCGTGAGCTTAAAAAAAGCCTCAGGAGCACGATGTCCTCCTTAATCAACGTTCCCGACGCGATTGAAGCTGATTACAAGTCTTCGGGGTCTCAGGACGAACGGAGCTCCGAGGACACCACGGTCGACGGTTTGAGGGAAAGCCCCGGCGAGTGGCCTATCAGGCAGCGGCTGCTGGTGGTGGCAAACAGGCTTCCGGTTTTTGCCGTGAGGTGTGACGATTCGTGGTCAGTCGAGATTAGCGACGGGAGTCTCGTGAGCGCACTATCGGGTGAGATATTTTACTGTATCCTTATCTATTCGTCCAGCCGTGAGCGCTTGTTCCATATAGCTTATTACTGCAATATCGTATTAGTACATTTACACTGCTGTTTCTTAGATTTTTTGGATGATGTGCCAGTAGGCGTGAAGGACATGGAGATCTGGTGGATCGGTTGGATGGGCGTGGATGTGCCCGATGAGGCTGGACAGATGGCCTTGACTAAAGCGCTTGGTGATAAGGTGAAAAATGTTTGTTCATTACTTTCAGATTTTGAATTTTGTTGATTTACAATGTATACTACAATAGTTGCACGCTGGTGTTCACAATATTACTGGTTATTAATGTTATTGTTTTGTCGCATTGTAGAATTGTGTTCATGTTCTCTTGGATGAGGTGACTGCAAGTGATTGCTCCAATTACATGTGGCCCCTGTTCCACTACCATGCATTGTCAGACGAAGATCTGTTGGCTACCACCAGGAGCATTCATCATACGCAGTTTGCCGCTTACAGGAGGGCCAATCGGATGTTTGCAGATGTGATCTGTAAACACTATAAAGATGGAGATATTGTCTGGTGTCAAGACTACCACCTCATGCTTCTGCCGAAATTTCTGAAGGAATATGACATCAATATTAAAGTTGGTTGGTTCTTGCAGACCCCTTTCCTATCTTCAGAAATCCATCAAACTCTTCCATCTCGAAGAAAAGTGTTGCATGCGGTTCTAGCTGCCGATTTGCTTGGGTACATGTCTTTACATTCTAACCTGCAAATTTCTGTCGGTATAATATCTGGGAAGGTGATCAGCACCACTTGGTTCACTAACATTTCCCTAACCCAATTAATTGCATTTCAACTGCTTAGTATCTCTGAACTGTCTAGTAACTTTGCAGGTGTCATTGCAATAGACTATGACGGTTGATCTAGTGTAAATTGAACAGGCTTCTCTCATATCATGCAAAACCTATGGTCATAATTCTTTATATAATTTGGCTCCCAATTCTTGTGCTATGAACATTTAGTTGAAGTGGCTTTGCTTATTTTAATAAATCTGATACGTAAATATCTTTTTTGCAACTTGAGTTTAGTTGGATTTTTTTTCCCAGTTTTCACACCTACGATCATGCAAGACATTTTGTGAGTGCTCTTGGAGTCGAAGCTGTTCCTGAAGGAGTAGAGTATCAAGGGAGAATAACTCGCGTGGCTGCGGTATGTTCTAATGAATATGTTCAGTATCTTTCAAGAGCTTTCTTGATTATGTACTTCTTTTTTTCTAGTAGTGAGCATCAAAAGTCTAGAAACAAGCTCATGATATTCATGGCCTAAAATACTTTTTTTTCCATCTGCCATTGTAGTTTCCAATAGGTATTGATGCAGAAAGGTTCATACATGCTATTGAAGTTCCTCAAGTGCAACGACTCATGGATGAATTAAAAGCACGATTTGCTGGAAGAAAGGTTATTTATGTTTACATTTGTGTATTTGTCTTCCTTGTATCCAAATTCGACGAACAGAGTGTATGTGGTTTTATCGTGATCAGATTTCGATTTCACTTCGTCAGTTAACTCAATGATGCGAATGTTCCCTGTAGGATGATGCTTTACTTTATTAGTGATGTACATCTATGATACTCACCTCAGCTAAGTAATTGTTTAGGCCTCTCTGTTATTTGATCTTAAAAGAAACTGAGTGACTATTGCATACAGGTAATGCTGGGAGTTGATCGCCCTGATATGATCAAAACGTTACTAGCATTTGAAAAGTTTATAGAGGAAAACCCTGAATGGCATGATAAGGTGGTCTTACTGCAAATTGCTGTACCAACCAGAACTGACTTAGCTGAATGTAATTATCTGCTTCTACTTTTCAGCTTATGCTGATGTTTCTTTGATTTTATTTTTTAATTCCACTATGAAATATTAATATTGTTTCGCCTTGTTAATCTTCATAGATCAAAAGCTTACAAGCCAGGTCCATGAAAATGTTGGAAGGATCAATGGCAAATTTGGAACTCTGACAGAAGTACCTATTCATCATCTGGTTAGTAGTTCATCAGCATGCTTTAGACGTACATTTCTGTTGCTTGCATCTGTATGCATCGCAAAGCATTTACCATACTGTCAATACGTTTTGTGAAAATAAAAAAATATTCCATACTTCTGTTACTGAATGACTTGATGATACTAGAAATAGTGGAACAACTAAAGGTCGCATGATTATTTTTGAGATCTCTGAAACAACTTCTATACTGTCTGCAGGATCGTTCTCTTGACTTTAATGCCTTGTGTGCACTTTATGCGATCACTGGTATGGCTCAATCTCTACTATATCAATTGTTTGATAAGATAGAAAGCAGCACAGATAATAAGGGGGCTATCTCATTTATTAATGTTATACTTTTGGGGTTTCATCAAATAGTATTCCCATTTCAATCATATCCCTAGTTATAAGATTTTTTTTTTTTTTTTTTCTCAATTGGTCTTATCATTCTATGTTTAAAATTTCTTTGTCAAGTACGCTTAAAAATGTTGGAATATCACATTTAGTGATGATATTATTTGCAATGTTCATTCGATTATTGATATGCAACTAGTTCTTCATTCCACTCGCACCTTGCGATTATGCAATTTATTCCTTTTTTATTACTATTATTTCAAGATCCCGATCATGTAAGTGATTTTCAAGCCACTTTGGTGGCGAATAGCATTCAAAATGAACTATTCGCTCTCGTTGGTTCCTATACTAACAATAAGCCCTTAAAAGTAAACCAGGTTCTTCAATATCCTCGTGTGTTTAGTGGCATGGTTCTGAATCAAGTTATGGCCAAATTGAATGTTGTTCTGTATTATTGATGATATTATTCCTCCAATTTTAGGCTTAAAATATTTAATGTCTAGTTCTAACTCGCCTGACATTTCAGTGATATACTTGTGGATCTGATAATGAAGATGCAGTAAAATGATAGCATTTTGCGAATTCTAGCAGTTCATTAAGCATTATTGATGACGTTTTTCACCGCGAACAGACGTAGCAATTGTCAGTTCCTCGTGCGACGGGATGAATCTTGTCAGCCATGAGTTTGTGTCATGCCAAAGTTCAACGAAGGGGGTTCTAATTCTCAATAAAGTAATTATCTGACTGTGTTTATTTTGTTGCATAATTTGCCCTCCTTTGATTAAATCTGCAACCAATGTTCTTTTTAAGGCTGGAAAATATTTTCAGTATTTTGGAGATGGAAATAATCCCAAGTTTGTTCAGGCATTTAGCACACACCGAGCTTCTGTACATTAAAACTTCTGTTTATTAAAGTTGCATGTCGGACTTGATATTTTCTCAACTTCTTGGCTGATTGCAGTGTATTTTAGTTATTGAACTTCTGATTCTATAGTGAAAAATTCCTTATTTTATCCTTCAATTTCAGTAACGCATGTGGGGCACGTAAATTTTTTAGTCTGAACTCTCTCATTTCCCCATTATAACTTATGAATAATTTTTGTTACATGTTAAGTTTGCTGGATCAGCACAATCTCTTAGAGCTGGAGCACTTCTAGTAAACCCATGGAACATCAAAGAAGTATCTGATGCCATTGGACAAGCTTTGGTTATGCCTGCAGAAGAAAGAGAAAAGCGCCACTTGGTTAACTTCGATCATGTGACGTCTTATACTGCTCAACGGTGGGCTGAATTCTTCATAAGGTGCGTAATATAAGCGGTCAGCATTGCATTGAATACCTTAAACAACATATGGAGTTTGTTAGATGCACATGTAACTTTATGTGGAGGATTGTCATATTAAAATATTCAAGTAAAAAATAAAAAAGAAAAGAGTGCTAAAATCTATTAACAATTTATTTCTCGAAATCTCGCAGGAAAGTGTGTGTGTGTGTGTGCGTAAACCGAAAATGTTACAAAGGATGTTTGAAAAGCATTGCAGAAGTAAAATGAAACCAAGCAATCAAACATTGTAAATTGAAAGAGAGTGCATGAAAACATTTAGAACTCTTGTAATGAACATTTGTCGAAGATTTCTTGGTAACTATATGGTTTATCCCTAGAGAAATTGTGTTGCATATCCAAGTATCTAATTCATTTGTAAAAACTCAAAGTATGTCATCCTGAGGTATGTATTATAATAAATCCAGCTTCTTACCCGTTGAAGACTTTCCATTGGCCAAATTTATTACTCGTTAATAACTTCTGCAGTAGCAAATGAACTCCCTGTGGACTGGAGTCATTTATGGCCACAGATCTCTGAGTGGAATACGAAATTATTTGTGCAAGTTGGCCAGCTTTTAATACTCATAAAGAGTTTACGGGCTACCTACAATAACTAGAAAGCTTTTGACTGTGGTTTTTCGTGAGTCTAATCTCTAGGATTGCTCTTGCAGTGAACTGACTCACAATGTTATTGAAGCAAAGCAAAGAGTAAGAGAAATATCTCCTCGGCCTATTTTTAGCGAGGGAATCAATGTTTACTTGCAATCTGAGAACATACTTATACTGGTATGTCTTAATTTTCTAGAGGTTGCAACTTATTTCCTGGAAATGATGTTTCTTACCCTCTTTTTGAATCATCATATTCTCTGACGAGCAGTTGGAGGAGTTAGAAAACGAAGTGAGGAGAATATCTGACACGGCAGACTCGACGAGGCTGCAGCTGGAGGACAAAGCAATGAAGCTTGAAAGTGAGGTAAAGGATACTTTGGACTTGGCAGACTCCACGCAAAAGCAACTAAAAGAAAAAATTAGTGTGCTTGAAAGCGAGCTTTTCGAGGCGAGAAAGCTGATCAAAAAAGACTCGAATGCAAGGTGTGTGCTTGTATCACACAATAATTCATATACATGATCAGTATTCCTTCTAATTCTGTATCTTCCCACTCTATTTTCAGGGCAACGAGAGTGCCAATGGAACTTCCTTCGGATTTGAGGAAGAGGTTGAGACCATTACTATTCGTTCTGGTCTTTATCTGCTTCTCAGTTTTATCAGCTGGCTTGGTATTTTCGGATGAATACACTACGTTATACTACATTGCCTTGTATTCATATTTGCTGGTACCTGGGGTTGACATTGCCGTTGAAGTGGAATGGAGCTGGCGTCCCAATTTTGTCGCGCGTGTTGTGATGGATTCAGTCCTAATGAGTGTAGTTCCAGCGGCATTACAATATTGTACTGGTTGGTTACATATTGTAGCTGCAATAGTTCACTTTCACGTGATAGGGTTTTTGGTAAACGTTGGCCTAGGATACTTTTTCACACGATACAACAAAGTATTTTGTTCAGGAATTGCAGCCCTCTTCTTGCGCCTTATCAGCTCTGGGGCGGGCTCTAGCTCTGTGATGTATGTGGGCATGGTTACAAATTTGTGCATGTACATATTCGAGGATGTATATGTTGAATATTTACAGGAACGTCTCATCCGCTCCTCAGCTACTTGGAGGCAGAGGTACCCATACTAAAACTAAAACTTTTTCAGTCTTTGACTTGGGTTCATATTTCAGTATTTCATATTTCCCTTCTTGATATTTCAGAGGTTGACATTAGGTTCAGGGGGCGGTTTGTGGAAATATATGCTTGATCGAGCTTTAATCGAAGTGACTGTGATGAAGAAATGAAGAAAGTTTCAGTGCAGACATTATAAATTCTCGTTATGGTTGTTAATTTTCTTTTCGTAACAGAAGCGCGTATGCGATTTCAGACGTCGTTTAGTGTTGAGAAAGATTAAGTAATGAAGCAACTTCGTTTTATCTTGCATGAGTACATATGAAGCATTTTACCAGAAATGAAATGACGATTACAAACCAAAATTCTGTCGTTCGATTTTCAGTCTTTTGATCTAATTTCACAGATTCTAACACACTTACGAATCAATGTTATCTCTACTATCTCTATCTCTATCTCTTCTCTACTAACCTAAAAGAGTGAATATTTCTCTATCTCTATCTCTATCTCTATTTCTATTCTTTCTATTCTATTCTATTCTATTCTATTCTATTCTATTCTATTCTATTCTACTAACCTAAAAGAGTGAATATTTCTGTAAAAATATTTGTTGTCTATACTGCCCTTTTAATGGTATACTAAATTCTTGATTACATTGGTTAAATAGTCATTATCAGTTGTTTAGTAATTAATAGTTATAATTGTATGGAATATCAAACAATCACTCAAAGCTTTATTTTTAGTCGTTTCTCAAACCATTTGCAACAAAAAGTAAGAGTTTAACATGAATTTTCACTATGAACTTCAACTAATACCATACCTGGAACCCAAACACAGAAGTATAGAAATGAAGATTTTCATAGCTTATTCTAGAGAATAATTCTTATATAAAAAATTATTCTTACCCTGAAGAAAAAAATGTCTAATAAAATTAGTCTACAATCCACATCTCTAGCCAATCAACAATTTGGGAGTGGCAAATTTCTAAATATGACTCTCCCCTCTTCAAATCCCTCTTTGACATCCGACTTAACTTGATAGAAAAAGCGGGTAGTGTGAGAGGTGCGGAAAGCCTTCTTCGGTCGTGGAGTCATCAACAAGATGGCACGAGCAAATGCTATGACTTCCTCCGACCTAAGGGAAGCGTCAAGCCATGGACCGGGGTTGTTTGGGGGAGTTGCAATACCCCCAAACACTCATTTATCTTATGGCTTAGTGTGATGAATAGGCTCCAAACTAAGGATCGACTTGAGTTCCTTAATGAAGATCCGACGTGTCCCCTTTGCGGTACCACCGTCGAAACCTCGAGTCATCTCTTCTTCGAGTGCTCGTTTAGCTCGGAGATTTGGGGTGCCATTCGTGTATGGATTAGCCTCCGTCACATGCCAACAACACTCAAAGGAGCCCTAAAGTGGACCAAAAAAGAGGGAAAAGGTAAGACATGGAAAGCCAAATTGAAAAAAGCAGCGCTAGCGGCTACCGTATGCTTTATATGGAATGCTCGGAATCGCTTGATCTTTGAAGGCGAAAACCAACCTCCAAGCCTCGTGATTCGCAAGATAAAAACGCATGTTTATCGTACTATATTTGCCACCTA